TTTAAAATTTTAAATAGAGATTAGAGAGCTATTTTAAGTGGGGCACACCAGTTCCTGACAGCAAGGGTTCATATCCTTGTGCCAGACCCAACCATATAACTTTGGATCATTTTCCTCAGTGAATAAATGAAGAGGGAAAATGTTCTTGACTCCTTTGTCAAATTGGGTTCTCTTTATCTAGTTTTAGGACTTGTGTGGAGAAGAGATCATGTTTTGGTCATATTTATGCAGAAGTGTTGAAAATTCAAAAGAGTTCACAAACTTTTAAGCACCATTGTACCTATTCTTTGGTGTGTAGTGATATTGTAGTATCACCACAGTAGTTCTTTGAACTAGCAACATAATCAGAATGAGCACCTGTTCCAGTGTTAGCTTGAAATAGAACCCCAAGATATTTAAACATTTCATCTTGTTCTGAATTATGGCTGTTAATGGTCCATCTAAAGTTTTTAAGTTTCCTTGAAAAAAAGAACTCTTAAATACTTAGCTGCACTAAAATACATCCTTGTAGAAGTTTCTAAAGTTTTTATAGGAGTATCCAAAATTTATATCAACCATATTTTGCTGGTCTGGAAAAAAATATGTAAGTAGTATCTTAACTCTGGACTTACTATGTACAACAGAGAATTTTTTAAAACTATTTGAACAGCTTCAAATAGTATTTCAAGTACCTTCATATACTACATAGCATTAAACTAAACTAAACTAATCTAATCTAAACTAAACTAAACATTAAAATGATACCACTTTTTTGGGATGGAATTTGAAAAATATTGGGCCACATTTCTGAACGTTGACAGCTGAAACCATAAAGACTCAGGAAGATTGTAATACCAGATATTTTAAACCAACTTTGAGTGTTGAAAGAGTGGGATAGATCTTCACATTACTATCCCTAAGAGCATTAGTTTAATCTATTAAGTAGAAAGTTGTGTTGTGTTTGACCTATGGCTTGGATCCATGTCACCATGGCAGCTAGGAAGTGAAAGCTTTTGAGAGATGAAGAAGCAAAAGGTGGGATGCACCACCTCCATCCTGGCTCCACCATAGGTAATCTACAAGTACAAAGTTATTCTATACTAAATCCTATCCTGAAACCTGATGAAACACATCTAGATAATCCACTTCTTCTCGCATCTTCTGCATTGCTGTCCAATCACCTTCTTAATAACCTTTCCTAGGAAAGGAACATTAGAGATGGGTGGTAATTATTTAAAACTGTTGGGTCCAAGGATGACTGCTTGAGGAGGGGGCATACCACTGCATCTTTCAAGGCTGGAAGCACCACCACCCCCTTCAAAGAGGCTGACGCCACAGCATGGACCCAACCACAGGTCACCTTCTTGGCTGCTTTCACAACCCAAAAGGGGCCTATATATAGCACACAGGTGCACTGTTAGCACTGAGTTAACAGTTCAGAAAACCCTGCCTGCTTCCTCAGGAATCACCAGTTCAAATTTATCCCAGTTTAGTTATCAGTCACATTTTATAGACATTTAGGTTGTGGTTAGTAGCAAAATAAAGTCCAAAACTAGAAAGCCACATGGATACATAGTCTTTTGCTCAGCAGTGGTTCATCCTGTAAGAAAGAAAAAAATCTTGATAGACTAAAATAAGCAGACACATTATAAGAAGAGTTGGTATGAAAGGCTACATCTCTTTCCTGTTGAAGAAGATTGCCATACAAATAGTTTACAAAAGCTTACAAAGGTTTCTCTCTCTCTCTCTTGATCTCCCTCCCTCACACACTTATAACCTATTTCCTGGAGAGGCCTCATCCATGTCATTTTTAGCATCAGTTCAGAAATGCCTTTCCAATGCCTTCTTAGATTTTGTTTTACCAGTCTCTCTGCCTCTGCCTCTGCCTCTGTCTCTGTCTCTATCTCACTCTTCCTCCTTCCTTCCAGTAGTTTTTCAGTGTCAAATGTTCAAATATTTGTGTGCCTCTCAATTTATTTGCTACATATATATATTTGAAAAAAGATATAACAAACACAAACTGTTGGCTATTCTTTCTTTTCACCTTTGCTGATATGTTCATAACGTCCTTTCTTTTAGTGAATACTTGAAGTACCCATGAGATGAAGATAGAGAACGAGACATCTTTAACAATTTATTGGAAAGAACCACAGGGATGGGAGTAATCTCATTGGAATTATTATCATGGAATCTTGACATCTTCCACAGACTATGAGAGAGGAGGCCAGAATGCTATCCTCTTAAGCCCTGGGATTCTTTCATAGATGAACTAACCCTTAGGAAGCTGGAAAACATGGTTGGTTGAGCAGGAGTCAAGGTGACTGAAAAGATGAAACTTAGTACTGGTAGAAAGGGGATTTAAAGAACTCCATAAAAGATTGCAGATAAAAGTCATCAGATCCAGAGAACCAATATCAAGAAGAATTTAAATCTAAATATTTCCTAATTTCATCACAGAGTAATCCAAAAAGCTTCTGCCACAAAGATCTTCCTCCAAATTAAGGACATGGCATGGTAGTTCCCCCCCACCCCCCCACATACATATCTAGCTCCTCCAGTGATATTCCATTATTATGGTCCTTTGAACATATTCCATTAAAATTTCAAATTATTTCTCAACATTATGTACTAAGTTGTTGGTTGTTGTAACTAGAACCATGAGGAGATCCTTCCTGGTGGGTGAGGAAGATCTTGGAGACACCCAAAGGTAAGATTCCACTGGCCATTTGGAATTTAATTTATGGGGGATCCTTTTTTAAAGGATGAAATATTTTGACTCGGTAGAATTATCTTAAAATTGATAAATGCAAACAAAGGCATATGCTAAGGCAAAACACACAAATTGCT